TCCTGGTTGCAATCTATGGAGGTGAAAGCTGGACCATAAGAAAGGCTGAGTGCCAAAGAATGGAGGCCTTTGAACTCTGGTGCTGGAGAAGACTCCTGCGAGTCCCCTGGACTGCAAGGCGATCCAACCGGTCAGTCCTAGAGGAGATCAACCCGGACTGCTCTTTAGAAGGCCAGATCCTGAAGTTGAAACTCAAGTCCTTTGGCCACCTAATGAGAAGGAAGGACTCCCTGGAGAAGAGCCTAATGCTGGGAAAGATGGAGGGCAAGAGAAGAAGGGGACGACAGAGAAGGAGGTGGCTGGATGGAGTCCCTGAAGCAGTAGGCGTGAGCTTCAATGGACTCCAGAAGATGGTAGAGGACAGGAAGGCCTGGAGGAACATTGTCCATGGGGTCGTGATGGGTCGGACACGACTTCAACAAAACTTAACATTTTTAAATTGGCATATTAAAAACTGTTTACAGAAAGAGGCACTTTGCCTGCTTATTGAATTACGCACTTTTTTTAGATTTGCAGAATCTACTGAATAACCTTAATGCCCTTGACATATTATTATATATCTACTTATACTTAATGTGCATTAATATAATGTATATGCCTAATATACGTAATATATATGAATGTAATATATAGTTAATATGCTTAATACACACCAATATAATATATAAACTTAATGTACTTAATGCATATCAATACAATATATATACACATAATACACACTTTAATATATATATCAAAACAATATATACAGTATATATCCTTAATATGCTTAATATCTCAAAGAGCTGAGTTTGCACGACACGCTAAGCCATCAAAAGCAGCCAGACCCACAACCCAAAGCTAAAACTAACAAATCTTAGTAAGCTGGGTCCTCCACTGTTGTGCCTTCACATAACACGGCCATATTTAAATATTATGCAAGTTAATGCATTTTATCTTCTTTTCCCATTATGAATGTCTGCTGGGAGGGAGAAACGAGAGGTAAATCCAGTTGCATAACTGCATATTTTAGCTGGATTGCAGCCTAAGCTAATTAATCAACGGCAGCAGCTATGGATAATTAATCTGCTCCTGAAATCCATTTAGCCTTCATGTGTGACTGCATGAGCTAAAAGCTCAGAGACTGGGTCATTTCTAAGCTGCTGCCTTTAAACAAGGTTGTTTCCCATCAACATAAACAAGAGGCAGTGAATCTAAGGGTTGTTTTCTAACACTGGATGCCCTTTTTAAAGCTTCTTATCCTGACTGTTCCCTAGTTGGGGTTAGGGCAAGAAAAACAACTTTTTATTTCCACCTTTTATTTTGAGAAGTGTCCACAGGAGCCAGCTGTCACATTTCACATGTTCTTGGGGGTTTTTTTGGTTTTTTTAAAAATCCAGGTTTAATTAAATGTGTTAATTGTTCTAACTGTCAGGAAGTTTCTCCTTAGTTCTAGGTTGCTTCTCTCCTTGATGAGTTTCCATCCGTTGCTTCTTGTCCTGCCTTCAGGCGCTTTGGAGAGTAGCTTGACTCCCTCTTCTTTGGGGCAGCCCCTGAGATATTGGAAGGCTGCTATCATGTCCCCCCTCATCCTTCTCTTCATTAAACTAGACCTACCCAATTCCAGCAACCGTTCCTTATATGTTTTAGCCTCCAGTCCCCTAATCCTCTTTGTTGCTCTTCTCTGTACTCTTTCTAGAGTCTCAACATCTTTTTTATATCATGGTGACCAAAACTGGATGCCGTGTTCCAAGTGTGGCCTTACCAAGGCCTTGTAAAGTGGTACTAACACTTCACGTGATCTTGATTCTATCCCTCTGTGAATGCAGCCTAAGACCTGGAGAATCGGTGGGTTCTCCTTTACTGGTTCAAGCGAGGCATACAGTAGATCAGGATTTCAGTCCGATGTTTTCCCAGAGCAAGAGAATTGGAGGTTTAAGGTTTTCATTCTAGCGTTCTTCCTTGATTGACCAATTTGCGAGCTTGATTGAAATAGCTGTTCATTACAAAGGGACTATGAGTCAGCAGCAGCCGCATAATGTGGATGCCGGCCGGATGAGCTGTGTCAACAGAAGTCCCTCTCACAGTTGCTACTATTGAGCCAGGTAGCACCTATACTGTACCTGTACATTTGGGTTTTCTTGCCTAAATGTAGAACCTTACTTTTTTCACCATTGAATTGTTACGTTTTTTTAATTGTTAAGGTTGTTAAGTCCCTTTTTTTCAGCTCTGTTGTAACTTCAAACGGTCACTAAATGAATGCTTGCAAGTTGTGGACTGGCTGTGTAAGGCTCTTGGGAGAGGACAAAGGAATCCAAGCAGCCACACAAACCAGGATGAAGGAATACAAAATGAAGATTCACGAGCACGATGTTTCCTTGAATGGAACCAAACTTCTGCATGCCGTTAGGCTAATTAAACTAATCCATCATGCAAGGCGTCTCTGAGGCCAGGCTAGAAAAACTGGGTGTGAAGCAGATGTCAAGTATTTTGATGAAGTATCGGGTGTGTAACTCTGCAGCCATTGTTAACTTCAAAAAAACAGGTCTTTAAGTAGCTTTTGGGTGGCCTGTTGTAACTTTGAATGGCCCTTAAGCTACCGGCCGTGTTGTGAGTCCGTGCCAGCCACTGGACCCGGCAGCTGAGTCCGGGGAATCAGAGGAGGAGGAGGAGGAGGAGGGGCCTGGAGAGCCATCAGAGTTGGAGGAAGGCTCTGATGAACTCCAGGACTTATAATCTGATGAAGAGCCTGGCCCTTCCAATCGTGCTCAGGCTGAGACTCAGCTATGCGGGAAAGCTGAGTCAGACTCTGAGGACTCACAGCTGGAAGACATCACAGACGCTCGCAAACACCGACAGACGCTACAAGAGCAGGACAGAGGGAGGCAATGGGGCGGCTCCAAGGGAGGAGGAGAAGGCATTGAGAAGCCACGCCTTGGGGCTGCATAATAAAAAGGGAAGGTGTGGGCGGTGCTGGTTGCTGAAGGCAAGCATTGGCAAAGGACTCAAGTTTCATGGGATCCTGTTTTGTTCGCCTTGCCTGTGAACAATTCTCCGTTTGAATCGTGTTCCGTTTGCCTTGGACAATTCTCCGTTTGCATCGTGTTTTGTTTGCCTTTGCTTTTGGGACATTTTGCAGGTCTGTACCTAATTAATAAAAGGGGTTTTTGTTTTCCCTGCATTTCCAGCCTACTTGTTAAAAGCGGGGTTCGTCCTTGTGAGTTAACAAGGACTCACATAGGCTGGGACAGAACAGTAAGTCAAGGATTATCTGTGAAGTTGGGAAGGGTTGTTTTTTTACCCCCAAACTTACCTGCAATAGAGGCCTCTGCACACCCAGCATTTTCATGGTGTCGGCGTTCGCCAGGATCTTCAGAGGATCGGTAATCTTGGTGACGCCCTCAATTTCCTTGTTAATTTCGCCCAGAACTTGATTG